AAAAAAAATTACAAGACCCAGTAAAGTAAAATATCTGAACATCAAAAAGTTCTCTGTAAATCTCCAGGGAATTTGGAGTGCAGCTGTTCTTCAAATGCAACAAACAGAAGATCATACAAACTCAGAATAAACTCAAAGCAGACTTGGTGACATAATTCAATTTTAGCAAGGCACCAACAATCACTGTGTGAATCTGGTCACTTCGAAAGATCCAACGTTTACCAAGTGGCAAAGACTGAGAGAATACTCAAGTGCAAAGTGGTTTTGCCTTGCACCTACACTAGAGAAATTTGTTTTTTAAAAAATGTGTTCACGAAATGCAGGTGTTGCTCACTATCTCTAATTGCCCTTGAGAAGGTGGCCTACCCCTTGAATCATTGAAGTGCATGTGGTTGAGGTACACCCGCAGTGCTGTTAGGAAATTTTGGACTTTGACCCAGCAAAGTGAAGAAATGTTAACAATTGGTATAAATTAAACACCAATACAAGAAGGACAAGAGGAGGATACAGTCTCACGCTGATTTGCCTTGGAGTCTGCTCAGGCTGTCACACTTATTTTACACTCCAAAAGTTGAGCATTGGTGCTCATTTTTACAGAAAACAATCTATGTTATGATCTATGGTGACTGTATTGCAAGGGATAATCAGTCAGTCTTAGCTCCCATTAGGAATTGTTTCCTAATCATAAACACTAGGTTTTAAACCGCAAGAGGCATCACAAATACTGAAAAGGAGGAAATGCAGTTTTGTTACTAGAGTCTTCTGTACGAAATCTAATAAACAAGTTGAGCAATCTGGAGAACAAGGTTGTCCGGGAAGCAGGCTTTCTCGAAAAAACGAAAGAAGAAATTGTTTCTTTTCGCTCAGATTTTGGGAATGTTTCTTAGGAAACTGAAAGAGAGCATTAAGAAATTTCCTTCCATTCGGGCGATTAAAATAAACTATGCCAGTTACCATAGTTCTTGCAATAGAACTTTTGTAATTTCTTTTTTCTCAAACTTGCACAGACATCTTCTTCCATGTAAAGCTACAAAAGGACAAGTGAAGTCACCTTAAGAATCCATTTATGAGATCCTATCCTTGCAAACAGTGTTCATTTCTCCATCACAATGTATTACCCAGTTAAATGCGATGCTCAATAAATGTCAATGCTGTTTTTCTTTTGCATCTTGGTGCAGAACCTTTAATTTCACATCTGCTGTTTTACTGTCCAGACACTTGCAAACATCAAGCTATGGTTATCGCAGTTCTACCTTCTCAAATTAAAAACAGAATCTGCACAAACTCCTACACTGCTTTAAACGGAACTTCAATCTATGAGACATGACCACTTCTAGCTCTGAACTGTTGTCCATCTCCATGCTCTGGGTCACCCCATTGAAACCCTGACCCATATTCACTACTGAAAGTGCCATGTCCCTCTGCCAGAATCTGCTTCCTCTGCTGAAGTACCTGTTATAAAAGTCTCTACATTAAAGCTGCTTTCTAAATTCTAGTTGCTGCTGTTTAGGTTGGTTCAGCAAGCATATGAAAAACATTAAATCGCGTGGGAGTTTTGAATTTCGAGAAATAATATGGTAACTCAACTGGCAGAGTTAAGGCTTGAGGATGATGCACTTAATATGCACAAAAACAAAGCACTATGTGCTGTTTCTTTTACAGACTGTAATATACAGGGCAATTTCAAGGACAAGCCACCACTTCCATGGACAGTGGTGGCACTGCATGTGGGAGTTACACCATGCACCACTACAAAATATTGGAATTCAAGACATGATTCCAGCCTGACAACCTCAAAATCCCAATCTCCATGGCACTGCAGGAGGCAGTAAGCAAAGGGCAGGTATGTTACCACTGGTGCAGGGAGAACAAATGGATGCCCTGGTAGGCCACTATCAAGTAAATCCAGCAAGTGGCTCATCAGCAGTTCTGATAAGGGCCTAGGTGCAGCTCAGCTGCCTAGCCAGAGTTCCATGGCCTTAATAGTTATGTAAGGGGAGAAAAAGAAAATGGGCAATTCCACGCCCTCAAAAGAAAAGTTAAGTACCTTAACTTCAAAACAAACTTTCCCCTTGTTGACCCCATATGTTGCTCGTGCTCCTGACCACAGATATGCAAATCCTTCAATAGTCAAGGGGTAGCCACTCAAGCGGTCTCTAGCCACTTTAAAGTGCAGATCACAGTTATCTAGGATGGAAAACATGGAAAAATGTAAGACAGGGAAAAAGGAACATATCAAGTCAAACCAGTTCAGATTACCCTGAAAATAGTTTATTACAAAGACGCTGCTTGATACTTACAGGTATCAATAGTCACACATGATTCATCAAAGTCTTCCTCATCATCCTCTGCAGGTGGCTGGGGAGATTTTGCTCTATGAAAAAGTAAAATACTGCTGTTTAACTCCTTAGATGGGCAACAGCCCACAGGCAGAACTATTAATGTACTTTCATACCAACTCTCAAATGATTTTCATTGTACATTAAGCTAGATTTTTAAGTCAATAACTCAGTAAGCACCATTGATATTTGGTGCACAGCATCGAATTAACCAGACATCAAGCACAGTACACCTCACTTAAATCCTCTCTTACATTCCTGAAAATCACACCTTTAAGTGAAACATAAGAATCCAATAGAAATCAACGTTAAAGCCAGATTTAAGTTCCTTCAGAATTTCAGAAGAACACTGTACAAATTGAAATATTGTATCATATATGTGCCACACTGTGTAGTCCTAGCTAATGTTGGTTGCAAAATAAAACTGATCACGAGCTATAAAAGCAATACAATATATAATTTTAAAAAATACTCACCATGAAGAGTTGTTAGATCGATCAGGGTTTCTAGTAACTCCACTAGTGGCAGAAGTTAGTTGGTGCAGCAATCAGCGGGAGTGACCAGCTTCTGCCACCAGATGGAGCCTGGAATTTCAGTGTGGGTTCAGGAATGTACAAAGCCGGGAGATAAACCCCAGAGACAAAGGTAAGAACAGAAGATGTGAGATAAGAGAAGCAAGGACAGAACAGACCAGCAAACAAGAGTAGAAAGCGATACTATGGGCAAACGGGGTCAGTGTCAGAGGCAACGCCTGGAGGAGAGTTGGAACTATGGCACAAAGCCAGGGTGGAGGCAAGGCTGTGCAATGAGGGAGGGACAAGGGGCTGGACACAGAGGGACAGAGCAAGGAGGTAACTGGAGAGAGAGTACGGCCTCTTAAAGATCAAGGAGATCATATTTGTGTTGAACCCCAGGAGATGGGAGAGATATTAAATGAATATTTCGTATCAGTTTTTACTGTGGAGAAACAAATGGAGTCTAAAGAATAAAGAGACAAACTTTGACAACAAGGTGCAGGGCTGGATGAACACAGCAGGCCAAGCAGCATCATAGGAGCAGAGAGGCTCTCTGCTCCTATGA